AGAAAAATATGACTGTCCTTGCATGGTCTAGTAAGAGCCCAGACCTAAACCCATTGTATATCTTTGGAATGACTTGAAGACTGCAGTCCACAAACGTCACCATCAAATTTAACTGGACTTGAGCAGTTTTGCAAAGAAGAGCGGGCAAATAGTGCAAAGTCTAGATGTGCAAAGTTATTAGAGACATATAACAGACTAAAGGCTGGAATTACAGCAAAAGGGGGTTCAACAAAATACTGACACAAGAGGGTGATCCTTATTCCATCTCAGTGATTCTGTTTTTTATTTATTTATTTACTTCCATTGGCATATATAAAGTCCCACTTACAGTATTTGTTTGTCTTGTATAGTAAACCTTACGTGATGATGCCCTTCGGAGGATACATTTATTTTGTGGATTTATCCGACACCCCACCTTTATATTTTGATTTTTAATATATACAGAATATTAAAATGTACTGAAGCCCTAACCATGAACTTATCTTATATCCTCCCTTTTGTTTTGTTGAATATACAATTGTTAAAACATTTCAAGTCCAAAAAAAAACCTGTTGATCCTGTCCAAAATCCAGGGTTGTTCTGTGTCCTGTTCACTCTGCCTGTGTTATTATTATTATACAGTATTTATAAAGCGCCAATAGTTCGCTCAGCGCTGTACATTACAAAGGGGGACAGAACATGTGACAGAACAATACAATACAATGTAAAACATGAGGGGATCGAGGGCCCTTCTCTTTCGAGCTTACAATCTAGGAGGGAGGGGATGGTGGCACAGGAGGAGAAAGCTGTGGGGAATGGGGTGGTAGGAGGAGTAGAGGAGGTCGGCAAGTTAGCAGGGGGTGGGGTAGGCTTCCCTGAAGAGATGGGTTTTCAGGGTGCGTCTAATGAAGAGGAGAGTAGGTGATAAACTGATGGGTTGGGGCAGGGAGTTCCAGAGGATGGGTGAGACCCTGGAGAAGTCCTGGAGGCGGGCATGGGAGGAGGAGACCAGGGAACTAGAGAGAAGGAGGTCTTGTGAGGAGCGGATTGTGGGTGTTGGGTGGTACTTGGATATTAGGTCGGTGATGTAGTACGGGGCAGTATGGTAGACAGCTTTGTACGTCAGTGTTAGGATTTTGAATTTGATCCGTTGCGCAATCGGAAGCCAGTGGAGGGATTGGCAGAGGGGGGTGGCATAAAAAGGTTGGAAAGGTGAATGAGTCTGGCTGCCGTATTCAGGATCGATTGAAGCGGGGATACCCAGCGGCGAGGCAGGCCAGTAAGGAGGGAGTTGCAGTAGTCGAGTCGTGATATGATGAGGGAGCGGATGAGCTGTTTAGTGGTTTCTGGGGTTAGGAACTTGCGGATTTTGGCGATGTTGCGGAGGTGGAGTCTGCACGAGTTTGTTAAAGATTGGACTTGGGGCTGGAAGGATAGGTTGGAGTCCAGAATGACACCAAGTACTCTGGCCTGCGGGGCGGGTTTGATGGTGGCGTTGTTGGACATGATGGAGAAGTCAATGGGGGGTGGGGTCCGGGCTGGGGGGAAGACAAGAAACTCGGTTTTGGAGAGGTTCAGTTTAAGGAAGTGGAGCGACATCCAGTCTGATATGTCGCTCAGTAGGTGTGTGATTCGGGCGGAGACCGAGGGGGTGAGGTGGGGGTTGAGAGATAGATTTGTGTGTCGTCGGCATAGAGGTGATAGTTGAAGCCGTGAGAGTGTATGAGTTGGCCAAGGGAGGAGGTGTAGATGGAGAAGAGAAGGGGCCCGAGGACGGAGCCTTGAGGGACCCAACAGAGAGGGGGAGTGAGGGGGAGGTGGTAGCATTATAGGTATCGCTGAAAGAGTGTTGTGACAGGTAGGATGAGAGCCAGGAGAGAGCTCTAAACAACCCTCACAGTACTTATCCTGGACCGCAAATAATTACCTTCTATGTTATGGAGATGAGGAGAACAGGAGAGATTCTGTAGATTAGAGGAAACCAACTTGGCAGGGCTGACACCACTTCTTTCAACTTCAGTCCAGAAAGTGCTCAGTGGTTTGCACTTTTGTCTTGTCCTCAGTTTCAATTCCACTCAAGACACTAGCTACATGGAGTTTGCATGTCCTTCCTCTGCTTGCGTAGGTTTCCCCCTGGTATTTTGGTTTACTCCCACAATCCATAGACATGCTAGCAAGTTTATTGGCTCGTGCCTAAATTAGAGAGATAGAGACCTTTAGATGTTAAGCTCTTTGAGGACAGAGATTGATGTGAATGTACAGTATGTAGAGTGCTGTGTAAAAAAATTAAATACTTGAAGAGATAAAATATGGGATATGTGAGTGTGTTGCAGAGCTTTGCTGCATGTATATTGTCTATTTTACCCTTATACTATAAAGAAGGCAATTTGAAAGTAATGAATGGGTGATGCCCTACACCAGTGTCATTGGAAGCATTTGTATAATGGCTGAAATTGATGGCGTATTGGAAATTGCAGCTGGTTAGAATGTAAGGTTGCATTATGTGGTGGCAATACAACTGCCAACAGAAAGCCTACTCAGCCCTAATATCAAACTGTAGGTCCCCAGCCTTAATATGGCAGTAAAAGCCAACTCTGATATGGAAATACATGTACAGTAGGGCTGGCTGGAACTCGTAAAAAAATGTGCTTTAAACTTTTCAACTCCAGACACCCCACATCATTTTAAACATTTTAGTTCACCTTTGTTAATTTTAAGACAGGCATCCACAGCTGTTTATATTTACTTTCTCAAGCAGCCATGGGTACAGCATTCAAGTGCAAGGGCAAAGAATGTGTGTACTTTAATGCATACTTCAATAAAATGGCGGCCTACTCCCTGCTGCATGAGAGTTAATAGAATGGGTAAATTGGGCCTCTATGATTAGGCCAGAAAAGGTCGAATTGTGTCTGCAGAAAACTCTACAGGTGGAGAACGGGAGCTGAAGCCATCTTTTACTCATTATTTTCACACTCATACAACAGGTATTTAATGACTGTGTGCAGACGGCAACCATTTTGTTGAAGTTTACTGGAGCCTAACAAGCTGATCCTGTGTGTCTTGCACCAGTCTATACACCCATGTGGTGATCTTACTGATAAGGGTTTTTTTTTTGGGGGGGTGCAATTTAGTGATACGATTTTAATTGTTTTGAGCTACTGTATGCAGACGGCCACCATTTTGTTGAAGTCTACTGGAGCCTGACAAGACAATTCTGTCTGTCTTGCACCAGTCTATCCACCCATATGCTGCTCTGACTGATACAGGTTTGGGGGGCATTTGAACAGTACTTTTTTCATTATTTTGAGCTACTTACTTTAATACATAGCTACTCATACTCCTGGCACAAGCTAGTTCCTTCATGGTTGGCCCAATTCTGGACTCCCCCTACATTCCCCCACAGTATGCCACCTTCCCTCCCTTAAGCTTTCCCCACTGGCAGCGTTTTATTGATATTTTTTTATACGCACCTTTCAAAGTCTTCAAGCCACATAATACTGCATTAAGGGAAAATTACCATAATTTTCTTTACTGGCTCTGCCAGGAATACCTCAGGTTAACTCCATCCCTTGACCCCGTATAGGACATCCCTGACTAGATTGATAAAAAGAAAATTATGGTAAGTATTGGTAACAATTTTCCATTTTCCTGGCTCAGCCTCATACCTGGGGACTTAACTAGCCAGATTCAGGGAAAAAGACACACAGACACCAGGTGCTGCTGCAGAGAAAATGTTAATATGTATACAGAGCTGAAGACAACACAGAAGCTCCCATGACACTGGTTTGGGACAGGGCCACATCTAATTGGTAGTGCCTGATGAAGGTAGTAGGAGATCTCCAGCTTGCCACCTTACAGACCACATCCGCCAAGCCCTTGGACCCGGCTGCCCAAGAGAACGGAATTACCCTAGTGGAGTGCGCTCAGATCTCCTGGGGGGGGGGGGGGGAGAGGCCTTCCAGGCAATAAGCTGCTTCAATAGTCTTCACCACCCACATTGAGATGACACTTGGGGGGCAGCATACCCGTCCTGGAACCCTTTGGAAACACAAAGAGAGCATCTGTCTTTTAGAATGGCTCAGTCCATTCCAAATACATCTGTAGAAGAGACTTTAGGTCTAGTCTGTGCAAACTAGACTCCTCTGAATCCGGTGCTGAAGGCAAAAAGACTGGAAGGACCGATCCCAACTAAAGTGGAATTCTGAGGAGACCTTAGGCAGGAAACTCAGAGAAAGGTCGTAATCCAGGCTATCCAGAAAAAAGGCTATAAGAAAATGTAAAACATGCTTGAGCTCAGCAACCCCGGCAAACTATTGAGAGACAGAGAGAGAGAGAGAGAGGTAGGCAACAGTCAGGCTGGACATCACTTACTTGGTGTGTAAAACAGTAAGATCAGGGCAGCAGCAGTGCCCCTGTCTCCTCCATTGAAAGCCTGCCTTCCCTGGACCAATCAAGACAGACGCAATGATGTCATCAACCTGTGCTGCCCCCGGTAGAATGCAGGTAAAGTGCAGGCCAGAAGGAGGAGAGGCAGAGTGACCCAGAGGCAGACTGCTAGCATACAGGCAAGTGTGACGTCATTGGTCGGCGCACTAACCAACTTGGAGCACATGCCATGAGCCATGCCCGGAGCAAAGAGAGAGGCAGAGGGGTAGGGAGAGCTAAGGAGGAAGGAGAAAGAAACCCAGAATAGCCACAATGGACAGGAACAGCCTACAGCATTTTATGCTATTGCTCTACTCCGGCACCAGGATTGCTCACTATCAGGAGGATTTACCCCCAACAAGAGACCATCCACTACGGGGACCAAACAGCAGGACCAGATCAAAGGATGAATCAGAAATGTTCAGAGCGAGGACAGAATAAGAACATCTGCACCAGGTACTAGCTGCCTTTTAGCAATCTAATCATGTGGAAAATTTCAAAGGGTATGAATACTTTTTCAAGGAACTGTGTGTGTGTATATGTATGTGTGTGTATGTATATATATATATATATATATATATACATTGTAACAGTGGGGCGATCTGTCACGATGTGGAAAGGTTATTTCACCCAGGATTCTCAACAAGGCAGGTTGAGGGGTCTCCGGGGTAAGTGTTTGATACAGAGGAAAGTGGATTTTCACTTTCCTCATTTGTTTGTAAGGTCCATTTTGGGACCTGGAGCCTGGAGATTTCAAAGTGATTTGGGAGGGATGGAATCTCCAATCCTGGGACCAGTTTTTGGGAATGGCCAGGATACTGATTGCTCAGGTGTGCAGGGCAATCTTCTAGATTCAGGACCAGGGTTCTGGGCTCCACCTCAGCAGACAGGAGTCAGGAGGGCTCCACCCCGGCAGGCAGGAGGTCACTGCCTTGGAGTCAGGTGGGCTTCACCTAGGAGAGGTGGAAGCCAAAAGCAGCAAGGGGCTGCTCGAGAGTAGCTGTGTGCTAGTGGCTAGCTGTGTGTGAGAGCCATTTTTGAAGGAGTCTGCAGGAGACAGACGTAAGCCTGAAGAGAGGCCAGAGGAAGATTGTTTATATCTGAGAGAGCCAGGAGGCTGAATTTTTTTCGCTTATATTGATGATAGACACCCCTGCATGGGAAACCTCTTATGTTATTGAACTGTCATTTAAATAAAAGTGGGCTGAAACGGCCCTTAAAAAAAGCAAGCGAGTTGCTGTCTGCATTACAAAAGCTCTACCATTTGAAGCGAGGGCCCACAATATATATATATATATATATATATTGCCAAAAGTATTGGTTGGTCGGCCGGTCTTTACAAGCACATGTACTTTAATGGCATCCCAGTCTTAGTCCGTAGCGTTAAACATTGAGTTGGCCCCGCCCTTTGCAGCTATAAAAGCTTTGACTCTTCTGGGAAGGCCGTCCGCAAGGTTTAGGAGGGTGTCTATGGGAAGGTTGGACCATTCTTCTAGAAGCACATTTGTGAGGTCAGGCACTGATGTCGGGGGAGGAGATCTGGCTCGCAGTCTCTGCTCTAATTCATCCCAAAGATGTTCTCTCAGGTTGTAGACTCTGTGCAGACCAATCAAGTTCCTCCAAAATGTTTTGGTATACTGACTTCTCTTCACTGGAACTAAGGGGCCAAGTTCAACCCTTGAAAAAAAGACCCCACACCATACCCCCCCCCCCCCCCACCAAACTTTACACTTGGCACAATGTAGTCAGGCAAGTACCGTTCTCCTGGCAACCGCCAAACCCAAACATGTCCATCGGATTGCCAGACAGAGAAGCGTGATTGGTCACTCCAAAGAACACGTCTCCACTGCTCTAGAGTCCAGTGGCGGCGTGCTTTACACCACTGCATCCGACGCTTTGCATTGCACTTGGTGATGTAAGGCTTAAATGCAGCTGCTCGGCCATGGAGACCCATTCCATGAAGCTCTCTATGCACTGTTGTGCTAATCTGAAGATTACACCAAGTTTGGAGGTCTTTAGCTATTAACTCTGCAGACAGATGGCGACTTCTGCGCACTGTGCGCTTCATCATGCGCTGACCCCGCTCTGTTATTTTACGTGGCCTACTACTTGGTGGCTGAGTTGCTGTTGTTCCCAGTTGCTTCAGCTTTGTTATAATCCCACTAACAGTTGACCCTGGAATTTGTAGTAGCAAGGAAATATCACAGTTGGACTTATTGGACAGGTGTTTGTCTTCCGCTAAGCCTACAACATTGTTCCCTTCTGTCTGTGTCCAGGTTTTCACCAGTGGACAGAGCAAGATACAAGGTTATGGGTTATGAAGATTTATTTTACTCTGGCCAATCAATATTTCAGTAGCATTTCTAGAAGGACCCTTGCAGCTTTTTTCCTGGAGTGGATGCCAGTGTGAGGGATCCAGCCATGGCATCTCAGGCCTACTACTAGGAGAGGGAACAGTTCCAGAGCCAAGTCCAGGGGATTGGGAATTGGCCTATGCTAGGACCTGAAACACAGGAAGGTGGCTGTTAAGGGGTGTACTTTTAGAAAAGTTTGTTCAGTCCATTACTGATCTTGACTTAAAGTTACACAACAGAAGATTGCCAGTCTCGGCTTAAAGGCATACTACTAGCCTGTAAGTGGGGCTTAATTCTTGACTATTGCACCAGAGATAGGCTTGTCCACTTCCCATTACCACCATTACCGTTCCGCACCAACCCCCTTCCCCTTAACCAATTATACTTACAAAAAACATGACACCAATTTTGGAGTAAATGGCCAACATGGCCTTTTATTAACAACTCAAGTTTAAATACACCAACCATTCCTTATAACAGAAACCCAAAGAATTGTTGTTGGTCTTCGAAGGCACCCCCAAACGATCCGAAATGCACCTGCGGACAACCCTATACACTAGGCCTCCAGCTTCAACCAACCTGTTCAGAGACAACCATACCGTCCGCAGTGCAGCACCACCACCTTCCAGTTAAACCTTGGTTAACTGGGAATATCCCCGGGCACCCCATACCACCGATGGGTCCCACACCATTGTTTTTTACCTTCCAAGATAAGAACTGCCTCCAAAGACCAACAACTGCCCATGAACCAACATAACCCCTCCACTTCCTGGAGGGACCCAATACTCACCAAAAACAGGGAGGGCGGGAGGGAAGCTCTCACTCCTGACGTCCAGCTCAACTGATGCCCCCTCACAGAACCCCCCACCCTAAGGTGCAGCAAACCCCACCTACACAAACCTCTACCAATCAGATACCCCCACTATCAAAACAAACCCCCTGGAGCTAACCTTAACCCTTTCTGCTCCTCCTTCCCCACTCTGGGCCTAGTCATGTATGCCCTGTGCTATTTCTTCTTTATTTTTGCTACGGGTATTTCTTTTTGAGTGGAGGTAATACTTGCTGCTGTTTTTTAGGGTATCCTGTATTCCCTAACACTCTCTCTCCCTTTGACACTGATCCAATAAAACCTGCAAGCAAAGGTTGATAGAGTGGATGTTGGTCATTCAGTCACTTCTGGTGGATCCGTGAGTGCTTTGGGTGAGCTTATAGGCCAGAACACCAGTAGAAGGGCTAGGAGGGTCTGTAAAATCCAGCAGCTCCTTTAAAGGGGGCTACATACAGTATATAATTGGAGCTTTCTAAAAATTGGCTTGCATACTTTTTTTTTTTTTTTAGCAAAACCAGAGTTTTCCTTTTTTGCCCCTATTTATCTTACCTGCTCTTTCCAGAAAATGGGAGTTTCTAAAGATGGTTGTTGAAGCGCCAACTGCGTATCCTCCCAAAAATAACTTGTGTTTCTCCATAACAGCCCAGGCTGTTGCAGATATTGCCAATGAAAATGAGAAACTGAGTTAAACATTACAAAGATTCTTAGAAACGCAAAACGGTGGTTTTCGGCCGCGGATGGGGATCTGTGCAGTGTACCTGGAAGCAAACCCCACCAGAGACCTCAAATCTCATTATATTGAAACAAGGCTTATGTAAAGTTTGACATCTGATAATTGGACAATTATACGCGGCTTTGTTTCCAGCTGACTTTCACCCAAAGTACATAACGCCGGTTATGGCCGTCTTACCTGCTGCTAGCCCAGATAGTATCTCTGTAGTATGCTGGAGTCCATTGATCTGTAGAAGGTTTTTGGTTACCAGTGAGACTTCAGGCTGAGTTCTTATTAAACTTTAAACTTCTCTATGCTGGCCTTGTTTAGTCCCTACGTTACGAATGGGGAAAAGTAACTTTTTTTCTCTGCAGCATCAAAATGTTTTTTATAGTAAATACAGCTTTTGTTTAAAATCAGTTTAATACAATTACAATATAATTGACATTCATGAGCCATTTTGCACCTTTAATCCCTTTGTGCCAACAGTTCACAAATATGCAGCCTCTCAGTGGGTGGCCTTGACGCCGAAAGGCCATATATTTGAGTACCTGTATGTAAATAAGCGTGTGCCAAGAGGGCTCTCCCGACACAATTACCGGCCTCTAACAGCTCCCGATTGCTATTTGCGCAGGGCAAGGATGCACAACTGGAATCCCTCCCTTGCTATTAATGCATGATGTAGAATCAATGTACTGCCCCGCGCCCATTCTCTGCCCCCCTGCTCCAGCTGCCCATGGTTGGTATGGAGTTTGCACGGCACATGTGTGTGGTCAATTGCTTGTCTGCTGTCAGATAGAAGTTGCACATGTATTTTTCTTGTCAGCTATGGGTGGATGGGGTGGAGCAGCCTTTTTCATCCAGGGTTCCTATGCACCCTGGAGTTCCTTCAGGTTTCTTCAGGGGTGCCTTGGCAAAATGTCCAAAAATGGCCCAAAATTTTCAACAAGGCAGCGGTTGGATCGAGCCTGCCTTTTAGTCACACCAAGTCACAGATGTTCATGGTGACCATTACAACCTTCCAGCCGCCGGTGTCCTAATGACCAATGGCGCCATCAGTTGATGAGGAGAACGTTGGGCATCCTTGTTTGCCCTTCCCCTGCCCCTCTCCATCAGCACTGGGGGCACATTAGCAAAGCTGTATTTCATGTAATCACGTAGATCATGTTGGGTGCCCTATGTGTGTGGGTGTTGCTGCATTATGTAAAACTATTTGTTTAGTTATTTACATTTTAGAATGAGTTTCCATGAGATTGTGCATCTTTTTAAAGGATGCCTTGATGGGAAAAAAGTTGGAGAGTGGGCATGTTGGAGCACGGTGTGACAGTAGTGGGTGTCACAGCAGACATGAAGCCATGGCCCCTTGGTTGCCAACCACTTATTTAAAGCACCCTCTTACCACTGTATCCGGGGCAGCTGTCCCTTCTATCTACCCCTTGTCCCTGTCTTACCACTGCACCTGGGGCAGCTGCCCCTTCTATCCACCTCTTGTCCCTGTCTTACCACTGTACCCGGGGCAGCTGCCCCTTATATCCACCCCTTGTCCCTGTCTTACCACTGTACCCGGGGCAGCTGCCCCTTCTATCCACCCTTTGTCCCTGTCTTACCACTGTATCTGGGGAAGCTGCCCCTTCTATCCACCCCTTGTCCCTGTCTTACCACTGTGCCTGGGGCAGCTGCCCCTTCTATCCACCCCTTGTCCCTGTCTTACCACTGTACCCGGGGCAGCTGCCCCTTCTATCCACCCCTTGTCTGTCTTACCACTGTACCCGGGGGAGCTGCCCCTTCTATCCACCCCTTTGTCCCTGTCTTACCACTGTATCTGGGGAAGCTGCCCCTTCTATCCACCCCTTGTCCCTGTCTTACCACTGTGCCTGGGGCAGCTGCCCCTTCTATCCACCCCTTGTCCCTGTCTTACCACTGTACACGGGGCAGCTGTCCCTTCTATCCACCCCTTGTCCCTGCCCTACCACTGTACACAGGGCAGCTGTCCCTTCTATCCACCCCTTGTCTGTCTTACCACTGTACCCGGGGCAGCTGCCCCTTCTATCCACCCCTTGTCTGTCTTACCACTGTTCCCGGGGGAGCTGCCCCTTCTATCCACCCCTTTTCCCTGTCTTACCACTGTATCCGGGGCAGCTGTCCCTTCTATCCACCCTTTGTCCCTGTCTTACCACTGTACCCAGGGCAGCTGCCTCTTCTATCCACCCCTTGTCTGTCTTACCACTGTACCTGGGGCAGCTGCCCCTTCTATCCACCCTTTGTCCCTGTCTTACCACTGTACCGGGGCAGCTGCCCCTTCTATCCACCCCTTGTCTGTCTTACCACTGTACCCGGGGCAGCTGCCCCTTCTATCCACCCCTTGTCCCTGTCTTACCACTGTACACGGGGCAGCTGTCCCTTCTATCCACCCCTTGTCCCTGTCTTACCACTGTATCTGGGGAAGCTGCCCCTTCTATCCACCCCTTGTCCCTGTCTTACCACTGTACACGGGGCAGCTGCCCCTTCTATCCATCCCTTGTCCCTGCCTTACCACTGTACACGGGGCAGCTGCCCCTTCTATCCACCCCTTGTCTGTCTTACCACTGTACCCGGGGCAGCTGCCCCTTCTATCCACCCCTTGTCTGTCTTACCACTGTACCGGGGGAGCTGCCCCTTCTATCCACCCCTTGTCCCTGTCTTACCACTGTATCCGGGGCAGCTGTCCCTTCTTTCCACCCTTTGTCCCTGTCTTACCACTGTACCCGGGGCAGCTGCCTCTTCTATCCACACCTTGTCTGTCTTACCACTGTACCTGGGGCAGCTGCCCCTTCTATCCACCCTTTGTCCCTGTCTTACCACTGTACCCGGGCAGCTGCCCCTTCTATCCACCCCTTGTCTGTCTTACCACTGTACCCGGGGCAGCTGCCCCTTCTATCCACCCCTTGTCCCTGTCTTACCACTGTACCCGGGGCAGCTGCCCCTTCTATCCACCCCTTGTCTGTCTTACCACTGTACCCGGGGCAGCTGCCCCTTCTATCCACCCCTTGTCTGTCTTACCACTGTACACGGGGCAGCTGCCCCTTCTATCCACCCCTTGTCTGTCTTACCACTGTACCCGGGGCAGCTGCCCCTTCTATCCACCCCTTGTCCCTGTCTTACCACTGTATCCGGGGCAGCTGCCCCTTCTATCCACCCCTTGTCTGTCTTACCACTGTACCGGGGCAGCTGCCCCTTCTATCCACCCCTTGTCCCTGTCTTACCACTGTACCCGGGGCAGCTGCCCCTTCTATCCACCCCTTGTCTGTCTTACCACTGTACCCGGGGCAGCTGCCCCTTCTATCCACCCCTTGTCTGTCTTACCACTGTACACGAGGGAGCTGCCCCTTCTATCCACCCCTTGTCTGTCTTACCACTGTACCTGGGGCAGCTGCCCCTTCTATCCACCCCTTGTCCCTGTCTTACCACTGTATCCGGGGCAGCTGCCCCTTCTATCCACCCCTTGTCTGTCTTACCACTGTACCCGGGGCAGCTGCCCCTTCTATCCACCCCTTGTCCCTGTCTTACCACTGTACCCGGGGCAGCTGCCCCTTCTATCCACCCCTTGTCTGTCTTACCACTGTACCCGGGGCAGCTGCCCCTTCTATCCACCCCTTGTCTGTCTTACCACTGTACACGAGGGAGCTGCCCCTTCTATCCACCCCTTGTCTGTCTTACCACTGTACCTGGGGCAGCTGCCCCTTCTATCCACCCCTTGTCCCTGTCTTACCACTGTATCCGGAGGCAGCTGTCCCTTCTATCCACCCTTTGTCCCTGTCTTACCACTGTACCCGGGGCAGCTGCCCCTTCTATCCACCCCTTGTCTGTCTTACCACTGTACCTGGGGCAGCTGCCCCTTCTATCCACCCTTTGTCCCTGTCTTACCACTGTACCCGGGGCAGCTGCCCCTTCTATCCACCCCTTGTCTGTCTTACCACTGTACCCAGGGCAGCTGCCCCTTCTATCCACCCCTTGTCTGTCTTACCACTGTACACGAGGGAGCTGCCCCTTCTATCCACCCCTTGTCTGTCTTACCACTGTACCTGGGGCAGCTGCCCCTTCTATCCACCCCTTGTCCCTGTCTTACCACTGTATCCGGGGCAGCTGCCCCTTCTATCCACCCCTTGTCTGTCTTACCACTGTACCCGGGGCAGCTGCCCCTTCTATCCACCCCTTGTCCCTGTCTTACCACTGTACCCGGGGCAGCTGCCCCTTCTATCCACCCCTTGTCTGTCTTACCACTGTACCCGGGGCAGCTGCCCCTTCTATCCACCCCTTGTCTGTCTTACCACTGTACACGAGGGAGCTGCCCCTTCTATCCACCCCTTGTCTGTCTTACCACTGTACCTGGGGCAGCTGCCCCTTCTATCCACCCCTTGTCCCTGTCTTACCACTGTATCCGGAGGCAGCTGTCCCTTCTATCCACCCTTTGTCCCTGTCTTACCACTGTACCCGGGGCAGCTGCCCCTTCTATCCACCCTTTGTCTGTCTTACCACTGTACCTGGGGCAGCTGCCCCTTCTATCCACCCTTTGTCCCTGTCTTACCACTGTACCCGGGGCAGCTGCCCCTTCTATCCACCCTTTGTCCCTGTCTCCACCCCCTCCTACTTCCAAAATTGACTCATTGCACCCCTGCCTTCTCTAGTGATCCTGTTACCATTTTACTCCCCAACTTTACCTCTCTCTTCCCTCTTTGCTGCCACCCTCTGTAACACCCACATCCAATTTATGTATTTAATAGTACAGGAAATATTCTGCCTGACTGCAGGTACCGCAAGGTGTCTGCTTATCCTATATACACCAGGGAAGACTCTCCTGTGTGCCCCTCTGATCAGACTGCATCATATATGTCCTTTTTTAAATCTGAGCTCCTGGAATTCCATTCTATGCAAACTTTCATTGGGCCAGCTTGGTTTGATGTAAGTATCTATGTTTGAAATCCAGAAGGCCACTGGAGATGCTGTAAATCAGAGTAGTAGTCCATGCTACATACAGAAATAGCTGTGATCTTTCGGTTGCTCCCCTAGGTAGCTTCCCACTGACCATAGTATAGAGCAGTCTTGTGACTTCTATTAGTGTTCAGTTGAGCACTGGTTAAAGCTTGTAGGAGGAGTTTTCATTCTTCTCTGACTGTCCTATGAGGCTGCATAATCCCTGACCCTCTGTCTAGACAGTGCTGATTGTCTCTGTGCTGGTCACATGCACCCTCCCAAAAGAAAAAAAAAAAAAAAAAAGCAGCCTTGCAATACACACCAAACTGAGCATGTGCAGAGTGACTCCAAGAGCTCTGTGCTACCAGCAGATGGATTGGGGACAGTAGAAGAAGGGGAGGATAAGAGAAGACGGGATCAAACAGCCTTTTAACACAATGCAGAGGGTTAACCCCTTAAGTTCCACAGTGAGTATAACAAGCATGCTTTTACTGCATATAAAGATTGATTTTACTGTTGTGGGTTTAGTAACACTTTAAGTAGTCCATTCATTCAAAAAAAAAATGCTGTGTGAATGTAGGTGTAATTCATTCAAAAGTCATGAATAGAGATGAGCGAAGTATTCAAAAATTCGATTCGGCTGATTCGGCGAATTCGAGGAATAAATTTGATTCAAGTCGAATATATTCGCTGCGAATTTAACTTATAAAAAGGGTGTTTCTAGGCTTCAGAGAGCCTTTATATTAGTGCAGAACACTGTACCTTTAATATAAATGCCCTTGGAGTCTGATAGAGAAGAGAAATAATACTGTCAGTCAGTATGACATGCAGATGAGTGCCGTCGATCTTAGAATCACCGCACACTTCACTCATTTGGGCAGTCACGGGGCCAAAACCAGAGTGTGGAGCCACAGTGTGGCGGTGGAGGCAGCAGCAATGGGAGGCCATACAGCACCCTATGACAAAATGGAACCCACCAGCAGTGTGAGGAGACCTGAAAGTGGCACATGGCACAGTGTGGCGATGGAGACAGCAGCAATGGGAGGCCGTACAGGGACCCATGAGACACTCTGGACCTGCCAGCAGCATGAGGAGGCGGTACGGGGGCCCATGGCAGATTACGGGCCTGGCAGCAGCAATGGGAGGCCCGTAATCTGCCAGCACCCTATGACAAAATGGAACACACCAGCAGTGTGAGGAGACCTGAAAGTGGCACATGGCACAGTGTGGCGATGGAGACAGCAGCAATGGGAGGCCGTACGGGGACCCATGAGACACTCTGGACCTGGCAGCAGCATGAGGAGGCGGTACGGGGGCCCATGGCAGATTACGGGCCTGGCAGCAGCAATGGGAGGCCCGTAATCTGCCAGCACCCTATGACAAAATGGAACCCACCAGCAGTGTGAGGAGACCTGAAAGTGGCACATGGCAGAGTGTGGCGATGGAGACAGCAGCAATGGGAGGCCGTACAGGGACCCATGACACACTCTGGACCTGGCAGCAGCATGAGGAGGCGGTACAGGGGCCCATGACAGATTACGGGCCTGGCAGCAGCAATGGGAGGCCCGTAATCTGCCAGCACCCTATGACAAAATGGAACCCACCAGCAGTGTGAGGAGACCTGAAAGTGGCACATGGCAGAGTGTGGAGATGGAGACAGCAGCAATGGGAGGCCGTACAGGGACCCATGACAGATTACGGGCCTGGCAGCAGCATGAGGAGGCGGTACAGGGGCCCATGGCAGATTACGGGCCTGGCAGCAGCAATGGGAGGCCCGTAATCTGCCAGCACCCTATGACAAAATGGAACCCACCAGCAGTGTGAGGAGACCTGAAAGTGGCACATGGCACAGTGTGGCGATGGAGACAGCAGCAATGGGAGGCCGTACAGGGACCCATGAGACACTCTGGACCTGGCAGCAGCATGAGGAGTCGGTACGGGGGCCCATGGCAGAGTGGCGAAGCGTAAGCAGCTTAAATTGAAGGCCATACAGAGGCCTATGTTAAAAATAATAACATGTTTGGGGCATGATTCATGGCGGATTTAGTCAGTTGTGTCAGGAACTGGTGGTTTGAAATCCAGACTAATCCACGCCTGATTCATTTTCACAAACGTGAGTCTCTCCACACTTTGGGTGGACAGTCGTGTCCTCCGCGGAGTTACAATACCTCCTGCCGCACTAAAAACACGCGCTCCGATGCCACGCTACTGGCCGGGCATGACAGCCTTTCAAGGGCAAATTCAGCTAGTTGGGGCCAAAGGTCAAGTTTCGTTGCCCAGTAGTCAAGGGGATTGTCTACCTCGGTTGGCAGGGTGCTGTCCAAGTAGGCCCAAGCCTGTTGTTTGAGGTCCTGCTCCAGGTCCACCTGATGCTGCTGCTGCTGCAGCTGGTTAGTAGTTTCCTCACTGCGCTGGTGAAGAAAGCTACTCATCATCGACTGCAGACTGAGGCAGCAGCTGCTGGTGGAGCTGCCACTGCTCCTACCACCCCACCCCTCCCCTGCTGCCATGGCAGCGGAACGCGAGCGCACAGGGCCCACAGTGTCTGAGGATGGACGTTGGCACAGAAAGGCAGAGACCAACTGACTACATAGGTGGTTTTTATAGTACGTTATTTTGGCCTCCCTCTCAGCAGGTGTGAAAAAGGCCACCATTTTTGAACGGCAGCGAGGGTCCAACAAGGTGGAATCTCCACAGCATACTGCCACGGTGCGTCTGGGTCCTCTGTCTCCTCCTACTCCTCTACCAGATGCTCCTGCTCCTCCACTCCTGTCCGCTGAGTGGAAAAACCACCCATTTCACTCAATAATTCCTGAGCAACAATGTCCTCCTCTACCTCCTCCTCTTCTTCCTGTCCTGCCCCCACAGGGGTCATGTGGCGTTGAGATCTGTGCGCCACGTCTACCGCACCCTGACCAGCCATTGTTAACAGCATTTGTTCCAGGACGTGCAACAGAGGAATGACGTCGTTCATCCCATAGTCCTGCCGACTCACGAATAGCATGGCCTCCTCAAAGGGCCTGAGCAAGCGGCAGGTGTCACGCATGAGCTGCCAATGGCTGACATCTAAGTTACACAGGGGAGTACCTTTATCCGCTTGTAACATCAGGAAATCGGTGATGGCCTTTCGCTGTTCGTAAAGGCGGTCTAACATATGTAGGGTTGAATTCCACCTTGTTGCAACGTCACAGCATGAGGAGTCGGTACGGGGGCCCATGGCAGATTACGGGCCTGGCAGCAGCAATGGGAGGCCCGTAATCTGCCAGCACCCTATGACAAAATGGAACCCACCAGCAGTGTGAGGAGACCTGAAAGTGGCACATGGCACAGTGTGGCGATGGAGACAGCAGCAATGGGAGGCCGTACAGGGATCCATGAGACACTGGACCTGGCAGCAGCATGAGGAGGCGGTACAGGGGCCCATGGCAGATTACGGGCCTGGCAGCAGCAATGGGAGGCCCGTAATCTGCCAGCACCCTATGACAAAATGGAACCCACCAGCAGTGTGAGGAGACCTGAAAGTGGCACATGGCACAGTGTTGCGATGGAGACAGCAGCAATGGGAGGCCGTACAGGGACCCATGACAGATTACGGGCCTGGCAGCAGCATGAGGAGGCGGTACAGGGGCCCATGGCAGATTACGGGCCTGGCAGCAGCAATGGGAGGCCCGTAATCTGCCAGCACCCTATGACAAAAATAGAACCCACCAGCAGTGTGAGGAGACCTGAAAGTGGCACATGGCACAGTGTTGCGATGGAGACAGCAGCAATGGGAGGCCGTACAGGGACCCATGAGACACCCTGGACCTGCCAGCAGCATGAGGAGGCGGTACGGGGGCCCATGGCAGATTACGGGCCTGGCAAGCAGCAATGGGAGGCCCGTAATCTGCCAGCACCCTATGACAAAATGGAACCCACCAGGAGTGTGAGGAGACCTGAAAGTGGCACATGGCACAGTGTGTGGCGATGGAGACAGCAGCAATGGGAGGCCGTACAGGGACCCATGAGACACTCTGGACCTGGCAGCAGCATGAGGAGGCGGTACGGGGGCCCATGGCAGATTACGGGCCTGGCAGCAGCAATGGGAGGCCCGTAATCTGCCAGCACCCTATGACAAAATGGAACCCACCAGCAGCAGTGTGAGGAGACCTGAAAGTGGCACATGGCACAGTGTGGCGATGGAGACAGCAGCAATAGGGAGGCCGTACAGGGACCCATGAGACACTCTGGACCTGGCAGCAGCATGAGGAGGCGGTACAGGGGCCCATGGCAGATTACGGGCCTGGCAGCAGCAATGGGAGGCCCGTAATCTGCCAGCACCCTATGACAAAATGGAAACCCACCAGCAGTGTGAGGAGACCTGAGAAAGTGGCACATGGCACAGTGTGGCGATGGAGACAGCAGCAATAGGAGGGCCGTACAGGGACCCATGAGACACTCTGGACCTGGCAGCAGCATGAAGTGGCGGTACGGGGCCCATGGCAGATTACGGGCCTGGCAGCAGCAATGGGAGGCCCGTAATCTGCCAGCACCCTATGACAAAATGGAACCCACCAGCAGTGTGAGGAGACCTGAAAGTGGCACATGGCAGAGTGTGGCGATGGAGACAGCAGCAATGGGAGGCCGTACAGGGACCCATGAGACACTCTGGACCTGGCAGAAGCATGAGGAGGCGGTACAGGGGCCCATGGCAGATTACGGGCCTGGCAGCAGCAATGGGAGGCCCTAATCTGCCAGCACCCTATGACAAAATGGAACCCACCAGCAGTGTGAGGAGACCTGAAAGTGGCACATGGCACAGTGTTGCGATGGAGACAGCAGCAATGGGAGGCCGTACAGGGACCCATGACAGATTACGGGCCCTGGCAGCAGCATGAGGAGGCGGTACAGGGGCCCATGGCAGATTACGGGCCTGGCAAGCAGCAATGGGGAGGCCCGTAATCTGCAGCACCCTATGACAAAATGGAACCCACCAGCAGTGTGAGGAGACCTGAAAGTGGCACATGGCACAGTGTTGCGATGGAGACAGCAGCAATGGGGGCCGTACAGGGAACCCATGAGACACTCTGGACCTGGCAGCAGCATGAGGAGGGCGGTACGGGGGCCCATGGCAGAAAAACGGGCCTGGCAGCAGCAATGGGAGGCCCGTAATCTGCCAGCACCCTATGACAAAATGGAACCCACCAGCAGTGTGAGGAGACCTGAAAGTGGCACATGGCAGAGTGTGGCGATGGAAGACAGCAGCAATGGGAGGCCGTACAGGGACCCATGAGACACTCTGGACCTGGCAGCAGCATGAGGAGGCGGTACGGGGCCCATGGCAGATTACGGGCCTGGCAGCAGCAATGGGAGGCCCGTAATCTGCCAGCACCCTATGACAAAATGGAACCCACCAGCAGTGTGAGGAGACCTGAAAGTGGCACACATGGCAGAGTGTGGCGATGGAGAACAGCAGCAATGGGAGGCCGTACAGGGACCCATGAGACACTCTGGACCTGGCAGAAGCATGAGGAGGCGGTACAGGGGCCCATGGCAGATTACGGGCCTGGCAGCAGCAATGGAAGGCCCGTAATCTGCCAGCACCCTATGACAAAATGGAACCCACCAGCAGTGTGAGGAGACCTGAAAGTGGCACATGGCACAGTGTGGCGATGGAGACAGCAGCAATGGGAGGCCGTACAGGGACCCATGACAGATTTATGGGCCTGGCAGCAGCATGAGGAGGCGGTACAGGGGCCCATGGCAGATTACGGGCCTGGCAGCAGCAATGGGAGGCCCGTAATCTGCCAGCACCCTATGACAAAATGGAACCCACCAGCAGTGTGAGGAGACCTGAAAGTGGCACATGGCAGAGTGGTGGCGATGGAGACATGGGCCCCCTGGCCACGCTTGACTTTCTGGCCACATAGTCAACATACGGCTACGTTTACTTCCTCGGGCGGCTTGACGAAAAATTGCCACAACCGGCACCGCCGAGTAGGAAACTTTGCCCCCGCTACTCCTCACTGGCTGACTGCTACTTCCTCCGTGCACACCGGCATCACTACTGGCCGTGGTGGTAGGCTGCAGTGGAGCTGGTGCTCTACTCCGTGCCGTTTGCCTCCACTGACACTGCTGCGACCCTGCTGCCTCCTGGGCAAACCCACCGACTGTTTTGCTCGCTGCCAAGCTGGCACCCTCTTCTCCTGATGATGTGGAAGCAATAGCCTGATGACGACGAGGCTGCCAAGTGCGATCAGCCTCATCATCATCAATTAGGGTCTCCGCCTCACTACTAGCCCCCTCGGCTGCGTGTGGGTCAGGAGACAGACCTGTCTCTAGGCCGGCTACCGAGCCACTCTCCTCGCCAGTACTTCTTCGCCTGGCTGCTGAAGAGGCGGATGTCTCCCCCCCGTTCCTGACCGCCCTCTGTTAGCTCTTCCTCACTGTACAGTGCGGCTGAGCCCACAGCATGCGATACTTCACTTGGTGAGGGAACACCAAAGGACAGGGGCAGGTAGAGGACACGTGATTCAGTGGGCTTGCTCCCGGGCCATGCCAACTAACGGTTGTGTCTGACGTACCCACCGACCGTTGGCTGTAGGTGTCAGAGGTGACCTGGGAAGAGGAAGACGACCGAGCCAACCCAATCGATGACGGCAGGGTTGTCGGTGGTGGAGACACGACCGCTGGATGACACCGGGAGCACTGGGCCTCTGGCTGCGACTAGTGCTGCCTCGACCCCCTTCCTCTGCTGCCACGTCTGCTCGCTCCCTAAAACATGGCCTCCTCTGACACCCCTCTGCGTGTTGTCTGACATACTCTTTAATTCAATGATTCTGTGTCCCTTAGTAACGATTCTGTGTCCCCTGAGTAACAGTTCTGTGTCTGTCCCTGAGTAACAATTCTGTGTCCCTGAGTAACAGTTCTGTGTCCCTGAGTAACAATTCTGTGTCCCTGAGTAACAATTCTGTGTCCCTCAGTAAAAATTCTGTGTCCCTCAGTAACAATTCTGTGTCCCTCAGTAACAATTCTGTGTCCCTCAGTAACAATTCTGTGTCTGTCCCTGAGTAACAATTCTGTGTCCCTGAGTAACAATTCTGTGTCCCTCAGTAACAATTCTGTGTCCCTCAGTAACAATTCTGTGTCTGTCCCTGAGTAACAATTCTGTGTCCCTCAGTAACAATTCTGTGTCCCTCAGTAACAATTCTGTCTGTCCCTGAGTAACAATTCTGTGTCCCTGAGTAACAGTTCTGTGTCCCTGAGTAACAATTCTGTGTCCCTGAGTAACAGTTCTGTGTCCCTGAGTAACAATTCTGTGTCCCTGAGAAACAATTCTGTGTCCCTCAGTAACAATTCTGTGTCCCTGAGTAACAATTCTGTGTCCCTCAGTAACAATTCTGTGTCCCTCAGTAACAATTCTGTGTCTGTCCCTGAGTAACAATTCTGTGTCCCTGAGTAACAATTCTGTGTCCCTGAGTAACAATTCTGTGTCCTGAGTAGTAACAGTTCTTCTGTGTCCCTGAGTAACAGTTCTGTGTCCCTGAGTAACAATTCTGTATCCCTGAGTAACAGTTCTGTGTCCCTGAGTAACAATTCTGTGTCCCTGAGTAACAATTCTGTGTCCCTCAGTAACAATTCTGTGTCCCTCAGTAACAATTCTGTGTCTGTCCCTGAGTAACAATTCTGTGTCCCTCAGTAACAATTCTGTGTCCCTCAGTAAACAATTCTGTGTCCCTCAGTAACAATTCTGTGTCTGTCCCTGAGTAACAATTCTGTGTCCCTGAGTAACAATTCTGTGTCCCTCAGTAACAATTCTGTGTCCCTGAGTAACAATTCTGTGTCCCTGAGTAACAATTCTGTGTCCCTCAGTAACAATTCTGTGTCCCTCAGTAACAATTCTGTGTCTGTCCCTGAGTAACAATTCTGTGTCCCTCAGTAACAATTCTGTGTCCCTCAGTAACAATTCTGTGTCTGTCCCTGAGTAACAATTCTGTGTCCCTGAGTAACAGTTCTGTGTCCCTGAGTAACAATTCTGTGTCCCTGAGTAACAGTTCTGTGTCCCTGAGTAACAATTCTGTGTCCCTGAGTAACAATTCTGTGTCCCTGAGTAACAATTCTGTGTCCCTCAGTAACAATTCTGTGTCCCTCAGTAACAATTCTGTGTCCCTCAGTAACAATTCTGTGTCTGTCCCTGAGTAACAATTCTGTGTCCCTGAGTAACAGTTCTGTGTCCCTGAGTAACAATTCTGTGTCCCTGAGTAACAATTCTGTGTCCCTAAGTAACGATTCTGTGTCCCTAAAGTATCTGTGGCCCTAACTCTGTCCCTAATACAGAGAGGTCTGTCTCTCTTGAATGACCGGAGGCAAATGGAGAATTGTAAGATGGCCGCAATTTATAGCTCCACCATTACACAGTGCTGGCTGGCTGGCTGCTGATTGGCTAATGCGATCACATGTCATGAATGAATGCATTATGGGTCAGCGTGCCTTGTCTGCGCGCCTTCCCAGAGATCCCCGCTCCGTCGCCACACATGTCGCCGCCATTTTTGGAAAAATTTCGATTCGCGCATCCGAAGTCTGCTAATTTTCGGAATCGAATTTTTCCTAATATTCGAAACGAATTCCACTTCGCCAAGTTCGATTCGCTCATCTCTAGTCATGAATATTAGCCTTGGTTGTGTTATGTGCTTGTATTGTTTTTCAGAGTAGTTGCTGCTTGTGTTTGAAAATAGGCAGTTTGGCTGTGTTTTTACCACTTCCCACTCACCTAGTCACTCAACATTGTTAAAATAGTGAGTGGATGAAGGTGTACACACTGCAGCGCTAGCATTTAAAAGGCAAAGTTCAGCAAGTGATGACACGCCTGTGGTATTTACAATGCATTTAACCACTTCCAGTCCGGACACTTTCACCCCCTTCCAGGCCAGGCAAATTTTCAGCTTTCAGCGCTATCACACTTTGAATGACAATTGTGCGGTCATGCAAACACTGTACGTATATGAATTTTTTTACACTTTTTTGAGACAGATAAAGCTTTATTTTGGTGTTATTTATTCACCACTGGGATTTTTATTTTTTTTGCTGTGTAAATGAAAATGTCCAAAAATTTTGAAAAAAAATTGTTTTTCTTATAACATTTTGCAAATAAATAATATTTCATCATAAACCTTGGCCAAAATGTATTCAGTTATCTTTTTTAGTAAAAGATAAATAACCCAAATTAGTTTATAACCAAAAATTATAATTTTTAAACATTTTTTTAACTTTTTAAAAAAATTTTTTATATTATTATTTGTTTGTTTTTTTTTTTTTTTTTTACATACTGTCACCCTACTGGTGATGCTGTACTACTTGTGGGGGGTTGATGATGATTTTTTTTTTTTACACTGATTGCTTTTACACCCATAAAGGCTGTAAAAGCAATCATTTCTCTTTCTCTCTGTCTGCATTCTTGCAGCCATTGAGAACTACTGTGTGAGCTGTCATTGGTCACAGCTTGTCACATGGTACAAGGCTGTGGTGAAAAGCCCTGTACCATGTGATCTCTGTGATCATTCACAGATTTCACACTTAGTAAGCAATGATGTCAGAAGTGACATCTTGCTTACTACTCTGCATGTGATCACTGATTGGCCAATCAGTGATCACATGATCGGGACCTCACACACAGGTCACGTACGACGATCGGTGTTCCACTGTGTCCAGAGGACACAGCGGGCACGGATCGCGGTGCTGCGTGCTCCCGTTTATAAACGGCCACCTGACCACCGTTCGGCCGTTTATATACATGGGCCAGACGAGAAGTGGTTAAGGTGCAGCTGCAAAGCATCAAAAGTAATCGCTTCCCATTTCAGCCTTGTAACAGGGCGTTTGAAGAGCGCTGCGTCACACAAATGAAATGTGCAAAACAACCAAAAGTCTCATTACTGCTCCGTGTGCATTAATGCACATTAAAGGCCTGTGTAAAGAAGCCCTCAGGGCTCATTCACATGTGCTCTGGTCCCTGAAGAGCGATCCACGTATTGATCGTTCTTCAGAGAGCATTTGATAGACCGTGTGGAGGGATTGTATTACCTCTTCACCACCTGCTTTAACCCCTTGGACCCTGCAGTAGCACACCACAACCATGTGCATAGCGGCCCCATTCACTTGAATGGGTTGCAGCTGGCAGGCAGCACTGCCTGCCGAAAGCAATAGGGGGTATAATTCCTGCAATGCCCATGAAGCAAAGCATCAGGGAATGTGTATACCCTGGTGTCTGCCTCTGCAGCTAAATTGGGAGTGGTTGGGGGTGGGGCATTATTTAACCGCCCCCCCACCCATTAACATGAACATGCCCTTAACTGTTTTTCCTGATGCCCTATAGCAGAAATACTGCTACAGGGCGGCACGGGTGCGCAAAATCTTCGGGATTTTGCATTTCCGGGTAGGCGGCGCGTGCGCCCTGCCAGTGCCACCATTGACGGCCTCGCATGTTGATCACCGGGTCCCGGCCGAAGATTCACTACTGGCACCTGGCGATCACCGTGTATCACCGATGGGGGAGAGACCTGTATGTAAACAATACCGATCTCTCCCCTTTCAGCTCCAGCACACTGCTTTGTATGGCTCTGCATAGCACCGCCATACAAAGCAATGTGCTTACACAGTGAAGCACACACAGCACACAGTTAACTCTTTGATCGCCCCAGATGTTAACCCCTTCCTGCCCAGTGCCATTAATACAGTGTCAGTGCTTTTTATTAGCATTGATCATTGTATTGGTGTCACTGGGGATGTCAGTGACAGTCAGTTCTCCCCAGTGTCAGAATGCCAGCTGCAGTCCCGCTATAAATCGCTGATCGCCACCATTACTAGAATTAAAAAAAAAATTCTAGTATATATACCGCCATTTGTAAACGCTATAACTTTCACGTAAACCAATTAATTTACACGTTTTGGGATTTTTTTTTAGCAAAAACATGTCGCAGAATACATTTTGGCCGAAATTTATGGCGATATTTGATTTTTAAGATTTTTTTACTGGACACTCAGGATCGGTTCCAGGACACTCAGGGGAGCCTGGGCAGCAGGGGAAAATGGATGATCCATAGGGAATGTGATGGGTGCACTGGGGGGGGGGGTGGGGGGGCAATTACTGGAACTGATCCCCTGTATATCTATATCTCTGCAGCAGCTGAAAGCCGGCTTCTTCTCCACTCCCTCTCACTGGCTTTCAGCTGCTGCATAGAGAGCTGTATAAAGGATCGGTTCCAGTAATTACCCCCCCCTGGCGCACCCATCACACTCCCTGTGGATCCTCCAGTGCTGCCAACTTCCCTCCTCTCCTTCTCACCGGCAGCTGCAAGCACACAATAGGATCCTTCAGGATGGAGAGTGGGGAAAGGGTCCGGTATATGTGTCTTATTTACCAACCCTTACCTTTCCTGAATGAGCACAATGAGTGATCAATACTGATCACCCACTGTGTTCATTAAAACTGGAGCATTGTAAACTTCACCCAGCTGCCTGAGCCCCCCTGCTGGCCCGGGCCCCATGCAGGAGGACTGGTGGTACCCCTTTATCCCCGGCCCTGGCCTAGGAGGCTAAGATTCCATGCAGTCAGAAGTAGCATTACTAGCCTCGGGTTTTGTAAAGCGAAGGCATTCTGGTGGTGCCGGACTTGATTTCACAGCTTAGTTTTGTTTCTAAGAAATGGTGACGGGTTTGCTTTAACCCAGAGCCAGAGAGCTCCAGCAGCCACGGCAGTGATCACCATAACCTCATTCCTTCCATGGCGGGGGACTGCTCTTTCTCCGGCTATATAAAAACAATCAGGTTGTATTGCGATGAACTTTCTTCCACTTGAACGGCTGCCAAAGATTCTCCTCCAGTCTTAAATCAGATCATGAATCAATTGGAGGCAGCCCACTCATTTGCCGTAACTTTATAACATAATTACTTTACTGTTCACTGGGGGTATAACACTATGGTGCCTTCAATATTGTCATAGGTTACAAAATGAGTGAGCGTGGTAGGAAAAGATGTGCGCAACGGACCGGGGCTGAACTTTATACGGCCGGGTCACCAAAACACTTTCACAAAGGGACATAGGTGGGAGAGATCCAGAAACAAATTTAAAGGGAACTGAACATGATTTGTAGCTAACATCTCATAGGGCAGCACAGTGGCTAAATGGTTAGCACTTCAGTCTGGCCGTACTAGGGTCGTCGGTTCAAATCCCAGCCATGGCACCACCTGCCTGGAGTTTGCATGCTCTCCCTGTTCCTGTGTGGGTTTCCTCCGGGTACTCCAGTTTCCTCCTACACTCCAAAGACATGCTGGTAGGTTAATTGGCTCCTGTCTAAATTGGCCCTAGTATGTGTATGTATGAATGTGAGTTAGGGACCTTAGATTGTACACCCCTTGAGGGTTAGGGACTGATGTGAATGTACAATATACAGTATATGTAAAGCGCTGCGTAAATTGACAGTGTTATATAAGTACCTGTAATAATAGTATAAACACTGTATTATTATACAGGATTTATATTATTATTATACAGGATTTATATTATTATTATTATTATTATACAGGATTTATATTATTATACAGGATTTATATTATTATTATTATTATTATTATTATTATTATTATACAGGATTTATATTATTATTATACAGGATTTATATTATTATTATTATTATTATACAGGATTTATATTATTATTATACAGGATTTATATTATTATATTATTATTATTATACAGGATTTATATTATTATTATTATTATTATTATTATACAGGATTTATTATTATTATTATTATTATTATTATATACAGGATTTATATGGCGCCAACAGTTTGCTCAGCGCTTTACAATATAACGGGAGACAATACAGCAACAATACAGTTCAATACAAGAGGGATAGGAGGGCCCTGATCCTGGGAGCTTACAATCTAATAATGTATAAGTGTGCAAAGCTTTTCTAGGGACCATGTTAGCCCCTTCCTGCCCAGTGCCATTAGTACAGTGTCAGTGCTTTTTATTAGCACTGATCACTGTATTGGTGTCACTGGGGATGTCAGTGGCAGTTAGTCAGTTCCCCTCAGTGTCAGAATGCCCGTCGCAGTCCTGCAGTCCTACTATAAGTCGCTGATTGCCACCATTACTAGTATATATATAAAAAAATACATTCCAGTATCTATACCGCCTTTTGTAGACGCTATAACTTTCACGTAAACCAATTAATTTACACGTACTGGGATTTTTTTTTTCAGCAGAATACATTTTGGCCTAAATTTTTGATGAAGAAATTTGATTTTTTCATTTTTTTTACTGGATATGTTTTATAGCAAAAAGTAAAAAATATTGCTCTTTTTTTCAAAATTGTCGGTCTTTTTTTGTTTATAGCGCAAAAAAATTAAAAATGGAGAGGTGATCAAATACCACCAAATAAAAGCTCTGTTTGTGCGAGAAAATGGACATAAATTTCATTTGGGTGCAGTGTTGCATGACCGCGCAATTGTCAGTTAACTTCTTGCCGACCAGCCACTGTAGAAATACGGTGGTAGGTCGGCACGGCTGGGCAAAACCACGTTTTAAAACATGTGTTTGCAAAACAGGTTGGGGGGGCACGCGAGGCGCGTGCGTCCGCGGGTGTCAGTAGCCGGGTCATGGCCGGTCATTACCTACCGTGCCCCGGCGATTAGCAGCAATCACTGACAGAGAGGACGGCTGCGGTCTTTACACTGCAGTCGTGCTTTCTGTCAGTCCGCTGTCAGCTCCTGACATGCTGATCCGGAGAGAAGAGTTTATCTCTCCCGATCAGCGGTGTTTTCGTCCAGCACACACCCCCCGCCCCCTAGTAAAACACTCCCCTCACACAGTTAACCCTTTCAGTAAATAAAAAAGTTTACCCCTTCCTCCCCAGTGCCATTAGTGTTTTTTTTTTGCACTGATCACTGTACTGGTGTCACTGGGGATGTCAGTGACCCCCAAGTCAGTTCCCCCTCAGTGTCAGAATGTCCGCCGTAGTCCCGCAGTCCCGCCATAATTCGCTGATCGCCGCCATTATTTAGTATAAAAAAAACCCTAAAAATCCCAGTATCTTTCCCGCCATTTGTAAACGCTATAACTTTCACATAAACCAATTAATTTACACGTATTGGGTTTTTTTTTTTTTAGCAAAGACATGGAGCAGAATACATTTTGGCAGAAATTTATGACTAAATTTGATTTTTAAATTTTTTTTACTGGACATGTTTTATAGCAAAAAGTCCAAAATATTATTTTTCCTCAAAATTGTCAGCTTTTTTGTTTTATAGCACAAAAATTAAAAAAATGCACAGGCGATCAAATACCACCAAAAGAAAGCTCAATTTGTGGGGAAAAAAGGATGTAAATTTCATTTATGTACCGTATTGCACGACCGCGCAATTGTCCGTTAAACTAGCGCAGAGCTGTATAGCAAAAATATTTGCGTAAATTGCAGTATCTATACCAGCAATGGGCAAACTACGGCCCGGCGGACCTTTTAATCCGGCCCGCGGAGCTAGGCTCCTCTCACAGTCCGCCCTGAAGACCGGTGTAGCATGAAAATCTGTCTCCTATGAGGATCTGTCCCCCTTGACGTATATGCGCATGTGCCAGAGATCGCCGATCGGCTGCTAATGCCTGAAACTGGCACATGCGCAGATACGTCGAGGGGGACAGATCCTCATAGGAGACAGATTTCTATGCTACACCTGAACGGAGAGAGGAACGCGCGGAGCAAAGCTAAGTGAATTGACACAGGGGGGACTTGGGGACTTAATATGGGGAATGAATTACTATATGGGGGATGAATTAATATGGGGAATGAATTACTATATGGGGGATGAATTACTATGGGGGATGAATTAATATGGGGGATGAATTACTATGGGGGATGAATTACTATATGGGGGATGAATTACTATATGGGGGATTAATTACTATGGGGGATGAATTACTATGGGGGATGAATTACTATATGGGGGATGAATTACTATGGGGGATGAATTACTATGGGGGATGAATTACTATATGGGGGATTAATTACTATGCTTACTATGGGGGAATATTACTATACTTACTATGGATGACACATACACATCATTCATCTACTCTTGGTCCGGCCCCCAGGTCCAATATATGAACCCATTGCGGCCCTCAAGTCAAAAAGTTTGCCCACCCCTGATCTATACCATAGTTTGTAGACGTCATAACTGTCACACAAAGCAATCAATATACACTTATTGGGATTTTTTTTTACCAAAAACATGGAGCAGAATACATTTTGCCCTAAATTTATAACCAACTTTGAGTTTACTATATATTTTTTATAGCTGAAAGTAAAAAATATTGTTTTTTTCTTCAAAATTTTTGGTCTTTTTTTGTTTATAGCGTGAAAAATAAAAAGCGCACAGGTACTCAAGTACCACCGAAAGAAAGCTCTATTTGTGTGAAAAAAAGGACGTAAATTTCGTTTGGGTGCAGCATTGCATGACCGCGCAATTATCAGTTGAATTAGTGCAGCGCCGAGTAGCAAAAAGAGGTCTGGTCATTAAGGGGGGTAAATCCTCAGGAGGGCAAGTGGTTAAAGTAATGCAGCGTCGTATCGCAAAATAAGGCCTGCTCAGGAAGGGGGAGGAATCCTCTGGAGGACGAGGGGTTAATATTGCGCTATAGCCGAAAGACAGCTACAGCGTAATACCTCATTCTTGGAGGGTGTCTATAGATGTCCTCCCAGAATGCACCTTGCGGGGCGAGCATTGGATGTGATTAGATCACGGTAATGGGCCAATCACACCCACCCTTCACTAGGTGATCAGCTGTGTCCAATCACAGCTGATCACATATAAACATATCGCCAGTTATCGTCTTTTCCTTTCCTCAAATCCATCACTGTGTGAGGAAAGGAAAGCTGATAACTAGAAATCCTGACAGCACTTTGTTTACACTGATCATCAGTGCAGCCCCAGCAGTGCCCATCATTGCAGCTTATCAATGCCCATCAGTGCTGCCTATCAGTGCCCATCAGTGAAGCTTGTAGTGTAATGTATGAAGAGCCACATTACACTACAAGCCAAGGAGACTGTGGGGATCCTCTGGGGTGTGGAAACCGTCTGCTCAGGAACCAGGTCATTTACACCAACATTAATACCTTAGGATAACACTACCAGTAAAATAACAGGTCCAGCACTATCGTTCTACATTCCTCAACCATCAGTGGCAGCCCATCAGTGCCCATCAGTGCAGCCTCATCAGTGCCCATTTGTGCAGCCTCATCAGTGCCCATCAGTGCAACTTCATCAGAGCCCATCAGTGCAACCTCATCAGTGCCCATCAGTGCAGCCTCATCAGTGATCATTTGTGCAGCCTCATCAGTGCCCATTTGTGCAACCTCATCAGTGCGCATCAGTGCAACCTAATCAGTGCAGCCTCTTTAGTGTCCATCAGTGCCCATTTGTGCAGCCTCATCAGTGCCCATTTGTGCAGCCTCATCAGTGCCCATCAGTGCAACCTCATCAGTGCCCATCAGTGCAACCTCATCAGTGCAGCCTTATTAGTGCCCATCAATGCAGCCTCATCAGTGCCCATTTGTGCAGCCTCATCAGTGCCCATCAGTGCAACCTCATCAGTGCAGCCTCTTTAGTGCCCATCAGTGCCCATTTGTGCAGCCTCATCAGTGCCCATCTGTGCAGCCTCATCAGTGCCCATTTGTGCAGCCTCATCAGTGCCCATCAGTGCAACCTAATCAGTGCCAATTTGTGCAGCCTCATCAGTGCCCATCAGTGCAACCTCATCAGTGCAGCCTCTTTAGTGCCCATCAGTGCCCATTTGTGCAGCCTCATCAGTGCCCATTTGTGCAGCCTCATCAGTGCCCATCAGTGCAACCTCATCAGTGCCCATCAGTGCAACCTCATCAGTGCAGCCTTATTAGTGCCCATCAATGCAGCCTCATCAGTGCCCATTTGTGCAGCCTCATCAGTGCCCATCAGTGCAGCCTCTTTAGTGCCCATCAGTGCCCATTTGTGCAGCCTCATCAGTGCCCATTTGTGCAGCCTCATCAGTGCCCATCAGTGCAACCTCATCAGTGCCCATCAGTGCAACCTCATCAGTGCAGCCTTATTAGTGCCCATCAATGCAGCCTCATCAGTGCCCATTTGTGCAGCCTTATCAGTGCCCATCAGTGCAGTCTCAGCAGCGCATATCAGTGAAAAATGTGGTGCAAAATTTTATAACAGAAATGAAGAAAATCCTTTTTTGTAATGTTCAGTCTTTTTGTTTGTTTAGCAAAAAAATTTTAAAAAAACCTAGTGGTGATTAAATACCATCAAAAGAAGGCTCTATCTGTCCCCCCAAAAAAGATACAAATGGAATATGGGTGCAGTGTTGCATGATTACACAATTGTCATTCAAAGTGCAAAAATTGGCCTGGGCAGGAAGGGGGTGAATGCACCCATCTGCACAATCTAATTAGAACATTTTTGTTCAAATGAATGTTCTGATCACAGAGTCTCTATAATAACACACGGTGACAAGAAATTACAAAAGAAAAAGGCTTGCAGCTTCTCTAAATGATAATGGAACTAAGTACGGGGGCTGTACTGAAAGCAATGCATAAGTGGACATACCTTTTTTTTAACTTACATAGGTTGTTCAAATTTCACATGCTGGTAGAGTAACTCTTCTTCTATAGTAACTTTTCTTCTTTTTCATTGCAGGTAAATAATAGATTCCAAGCAGAAAGCATGTGCCACCACAAAGGAGGGGTTCAGACTGTCCAAGATCCCCAGAAGGCTACATAATATTTATGGAGATGACACTGAAAGGAGTAATGCCTTGCCATTGGTGTCATCTCCATAAATATTCTGTAGCCTGCTGTGGATGCCTGCACCTCTCCTTCATCAAAAACTCAATGACGGCACATCGCTTCTGCTTGGAATCCATTATTTACCTGCAATGAAAAAGATTTACTATAGGGGAAGACTTACTCTACCAACATGTGAAATTTGAACAACCTATGTAAGTTAAAAAAGACAGTTATGTCCACTTTCCCATTACTTTCAGTACAGACCTCGTACTTAGTTCCAATCTTCTTTTTCATTGCAGGTAAATAATGGATTCCAAGCA